TGCAAGCACCCTGATGCCTCCCCTCTTGCTTAAGAGTGGGGCGGGGGAGGCTTGAGACCCCTGCCCCACAAACCCTGCTTGGCTTTGCCTCCCTCCACGCCCTGTGGGGGGTTGTCTCTGAGAGCTAGCGGGCCCAAGAAAGAAAACCCAACACCTGAGCGCCCGCGCTCCCACGTTCTGGGTCCACCTCCTGCCTCGCTCCCTCTCTGCATCCATCAAGGCGGGGTGGGAAGGTGGGCTTCCTTCAAGTCCAGATTACAACTGCCCCACCCACACCCACCCACCACAGTTCCCAGCAAAACCCCCATCGGTAATCTGGGTAATCTTGTAGCGCTCGCGAGCTCTCCCTGCCACTGCAGCTGCCGCGTGCAAGACAGGGAGTGTGCCAGGCGGGGGAGAGGGAGAGGGAGAGGGAGAGGCACAGGTTAGCCGGCGGGCTGGCGGGAGTGTGGGGTGTGCGTATCAGTGGTGGGATTCAATTTTTTTACTACCGGTTCGGTGGGCATGGCTTGGTGGGCGTGGCAGGGGAAGGATACTGTAAAATTTCCAGTCAGAGTTGGTATTTGCCGGTTCTCTGAACTCCTCAAAATTTCCGCTCTCCAGAACTGGTCAGAACCTGCTGAATACCACCTCTGGTGTGTATGTGTGGGAGGTGCTCTTTTGCATCCCTGGGTTGCACCTTCTCGCTTGGGCCTCTCCAAAACGCCAAATCGCACTTTGACTTCTCTACGTCTTGCTGGGCTGGAGATGGAAGGGGTGCCTTCAAAAGTGCTCGGGTTTTGGGGCCAAGCACCAGGAGACTGGGAGTTCTAGTTCCTTCTTAGGCATGAAAGCTGACTGGGTGATTTGGGGCCAAGCACCAGGAGACTGGGAACTCTAGTTCCACCTGAGGCATGAAAGCTGGCTCCTCCTCCTACTCTTCCTCCTCCCTCTCCTCTCTTCTTCCTCCTCTTCTTCCTCCTGCTCCCCCTCTTCCTCCTCCCCCCTCCTCCTCTTCCTCCTTCACCTCTTCCACCTCCTCGCCCTCCCCTTCTCTTCTTCCCCCTCCCCTCCTCTTCCTCTTCCTCCTCCCCTTCCTCTTCTTCCTCCTCCCCTTCTCTCCTCCTCCTCTTCCTCCTCCTCCCCGCTTTCTTCACCCCACATTAGCTGATTGAAAAAATCTCTGGTTCAAAGAGCCCCTTCCCCCGCACCTTTTCTTAGCTTCAGGTAATTTGCCTAAGCCTTCGGTCCGATGCAGGAGCCAGAAGGCGAATGAAAAAATAAAATAACATAACATCAAATAAAAACCAACGTTTTGGTCACTGTCCTAGCTTTGCTTCCAAGACCTGTCAAAAAAGGAGAAGGACGTTGCAGGAGGGGGAAAAGAGAAGAAAGAATAACTTGCCAAGAAAAGAACAGCAGCTTTCCAGATAGAGATGTCCTTTAAAAGGGTTGTTTTCATGGCGGCTACGAGAAAAATCCAAATATTTTTTTTTCTCCTTTCCTACTCCCTAGAGCAGAGAAAGAGATGACAAGAGAGTAAGCAGGCAAAGAGAGTTGAAGTCTTAGCAAAGCTGGCTTGGGGAATTCTGGGAGTTGGAGTTCACAAGTCTTAAATCAGGGGTCTCCAACCTTGGCTACTTTAAGCCTGGAGGACTTCAACTCCCAGAATCCCCCATTCAATTAGCCTGTTTTTTTTTCCTCTCCTCCCTAGAGCAGAGAAAAGGATGACAAGAGATTAAGCAGGCATAGAGAGTTGAAGTCTTTTTTTTTTAAACAAGTTTTATTGATTTTACAAACAAACAAACAAAACAAAACATCATTAAACATTAAAAACATAAAACCTCTTTCCATTGTAAATCTTTACAAGGCAGGTATCATATTGTTTTATATCACGTACTTATAATTTATCCCATTTCCATATAAACACGTAAATTCCCTTTACCAAATTCCACATTGTTTCTCTTTAATCATTATTCAATCATATTTCCTTTCTAATTTATCTGCTATTCAATCATCACATTTATATGTTCCTCTGGCTTGTTTATAATTATTCTCATCTAGTCTTCCTCCGAGATTTTATTATTTAATTCTTAATTAAACACACACACATAAGACATAAACATAAAAACATAAAACTTTCTTCTAGAAAGTAACTTGGCCCCAGATTACCTCTTTTTGTATGGACTTCAATTGAATTCATGCTCTTCTTATATACCATTACCTATCTTGTTTACCATTCTATATCTATTATATAACTCCTCTCCACTTTTGCCTCATCTTAATTCTGTTTTATATATTTAATCTTGCTTTAAAGAAAAATATTTTTATATCTTTTGTCCATTTCTCCATTTACATCTGTCTCATTTCCAATTTAAAAAAGAATAGTTTCCCCTGGAATCACTAATCGGAGTATAATGCCTTTCTATCATTCCCCTAAATTAAAATTTAAAATAACACCCAAATCCCAATCAGATTCTGCTTAGTACATTCTACTATTTCAGAAACCAATACTACAATAATAAATCCATAACAGTCAACACATTAATCCATTAAACTCTATATTTAAACTAATATTTTAAACATTCCTTTTAGTATTTTATTAAAACTTAATATCATTCATTATTAAACCTTTTAAAGTTATACCTTAATATTTTAGTCTTTTATTAGATCTTAAAAAGTTCTGATTATCTACTTATAATACAAATACCACTATTACAATACTCATGTGTACTTTGCAGAATCCCCTTTTTTTTTTAAAAAAACCCATATATTACCCATTATCCCTAAAAAAAATTTTCTTTTCTCCATCTTGTTTTGTACCTTTGTAACTTTTTTCCCCCTTTTCCCTTTCCTTCTTAGCCCGCCTAAACTTTTTACCCCCTCCTCTCCAAACCTCTGCCTTCTTGATTTCCCCTTTCTGTTGCATTCCTCTTTCCTTTTGCTTTCTAGCATTCTGTTGTTTTTGCATGTTCTTTTTCTCTTTCATAAACATTTTTTTATTTCTTAAGTCCTTCCTTTTCGCTCCTCTCTTTCTCCTTTCTTTCTTAGTCACACCGTTTAGTTCATTAAAAATGGCTTCTTCTTCCTCGGCTTCTTCCAGCTGTTGTTTAATTTGCTGACACATGACAAGCGCCATATCTAGGAAACAAAGGGCTTCTCCCATAACATCTTTGCCTTCTTTCCTTATTTTTAAATATTGTTTTTTTAGTTCATCAAGAGATAGAGCCATTTTGAACTGTTTCTTCTTCTCTTTCTGTATCCTCTTCTTATTATTAAGCCAATCAGTTATTTCCAAACTTAAAACAGTTCCCAAAAGTCCCAAAGCCCCACAGTCATCAAACAGTCCAGGCAGAGTACAAGCTTCTTCTTTTTACAGTTTCTCTTCTAGGGGTGCAGTCAAATTAGGGAAAGAAAAAACGTCCAATCTGTGCTTTAAATCTTTCTTAGAATTAATTTCTATTCTCTTTATCTTCAAGGCATCTCCTCCAGCAAAGTCTTAGAGAAAATTTTTTTTCCCCAAGCCTCTCCCTTCCCACTTATAACAAAGGAGTTTAGGTTTTACCTTCTATCAAAAGGCTGGTTTCCCTTGTCCATTTGTTAATTCCATAAGGGAGGGAGAGTAACTTCCCCTTTTCGTCACTTTTCTTCGCAGCTGAAAACATCAATCGGGAACATTATAGCTTCCAAGCCAATACTTTCCCAGGTGTTAAATATGTCCTTAAGGTCCCAGTTCAACCAAGAAAAAACTTTCATTTTAAAACTCCTTCTTCTTCCTCCTGCACATTCTTTATCCAGTTGCCGGCTTCTTTATGGCGGCCATAAAGACCGCTGCTCCACTGTCTTGAGAGAAGGGGGTTATTGCTGGCTGGGGGGGGGGGGTGCGATTCCCCTCAACCCCCTTCCGGATCCCCCCTTTCTTCAGCTGCCCCAACAGGGCAGCCTTAGCCTCCAAATCCGTCAGGATCGGAGGCACCAAGGCGGCTAGCACAGCAGGGATCGCAGAGAAAGCGAATCCCTGCTGTCACCGAAGCCGACAAACCGGAAGTGTTGAGAGAGTTGAAGTCTTAGTGAAGCTGGCTGGGGGAATTCTGGGAGTTGGAGTCCTCCAGGCTTAAAGTCGCACCTGGTTGAGAAAAATGGATAAGGGCAATTGGTGGTGCTGGATTTTTGGGGGGTGGGGAAGAAAAACATTGAAACCTGATGTTTTTAGGAAGGAATTCACTGAAAGTCATTATTGGGCATTTTTTAATCAGTGGGAGAAATAATTCACATCTGAGAACAAAGGACGCAATCCTTCCTTCCTCTTCTTTCCTTAGTTACCTCTCTCCTTCCTTCCTCTTCTCTCCATCCTTCTTTCCCTCTATTCCTTTCTTCCCTTCATGTTCTCTCCTTTCTTCATCCTTTCCTTCCTTCATCTCCTTCCTTCTCTCTCTCCCTCCCTTTCTTTCCTTCCTTCCCTTTCTCCTTCCTTCCTTTCCCCTTCCTTCCTCTTCTCTTCTTCCTTCCATCCCTCTTGTCTCCTTCCTTCCTTCCTTCCTTCCTTCCTTCCTTCCTTCCTTCCTTCCTTCCTTCCTTCCTTCCTTCCTCCCTCCCTTCCTTCCTTCCTTCCTTCCTTCCTCTCTTCTTTTTAATCCTTTTTAATGTTCCTTCCTTCTCCTTCTCCTCACTTTCCTTCCTTCCCTCCCTTCTCCTCGCCTTTATTTTTTTTTTGGGGGGGAGGTCAAGTTTGAAGAGGCTCAGCTGCCCAGCTGCCCTCTTCCTGTATCCCTGTCCAAGCAGCTCTTCTTGGACGTGTTGGCACCACAACCCCCATCATGCCCAGCCCGCCTGTCCTCCGGGCTAGCCAGGACTTCGGGGAAGGTTGTGGCGGGTCCTGAAAAGCCTCGGAGGGTGCCGCGTTGGGGGGAAGAAGCGCCTTGCAAGAGGTCCGGGCTTTCGTTCGCCGCCCCCTCCCTTTCTCTTCTTCTCTCGCCCCCCCCCCCCCATTCCCCGCTTCCCTCTCCCCCCCCCCCCCGCAGATCCGCAGCTGAAGGGCATCATCACCAAACTCTTCTGCCAGCATGGCTACTACCTGCAAGCGCACCCGGATGGCAGCATCGAGGGCACACGGGAAGACGGCAGCGGGTTCAGTAAGCGCGGCCTCACCCCCTTGGGGTCTCTCCCTCCCCCTCTCTCGGGGTCCCTGCTTCCCCCCAACTTCTTTCCTCCGAGCCCCTTTGGGGGGTTGGACTAGATGACCTTTAAGGTCCCTTTTAGCTTCATTGCTCTGCTACCACGGCCCGCCTCTGGCCAACGGAAGGAGGGGGGAACCCCCAGCCTTACTCCGAAGACCCTGCCCCTTCCTAGTCTGCAGGTTTTTTGGTCCCTTTCTGTCTACTTCCCCCCTCCCCTGGCTTCTTTCCTCTCAGCCCCTTTGGGGGGGTTGGACTAGATGACCTCTAAGGTCCCTTTTAGCTTTGTTGCTCTGCTCCCACAGCCCATCTCCAGCCACTTCTTTCCTCCCAGCCCCTCCTGCCCCAGAACTCTGCCTCCCCTCTAATGCAGGGGGCAGAAAGGCAGTGGGTCGGGGGGGTTGGACTAGATGACCTCTAAGGTCCCTTTTAGCCAGCAGAAGGAGGGGGGAACCCCGAGCCTTACTCCAAAGCTCCCTCCCCCTTCCTAATCTGCAGAGTTTTCTATCTCTTTTTGCCTCCCCCCTCTCTCCCTCCCCAGCGGGAGGAAAGAAAGAGGACGCACGGCCGTGATGGTTGATCCCTGCCAGTCCTGTCTGGCAGGCCGGTGTCTGTCTGGGCACATGGCCCGTCCCACACAGCCCAGTCCCATCCTGCTTTTCGCAGCTGCCTGGAGACCCACAAGCGGTTCTCTTCCCCCGGGGAAATAAGGGCCATACAGCATACCTGGGAGATGCCTTCCTCCCCCCTCCCCCCTCCCCCTCCTCGGGATGGGTCTCCTCACCTGCCCCTCCCTCCTCGTCTCCAGGCAGCCGCCCCATCTCCAGGGAGGTCAAAAAAGTCAAGATGGCAGCCCCTCCTCCCCTGACCGTTCTAAGTTCAACGGCACTGGCACCGTCCCCACAGTAACGGGATCGAAATTTGGATGCTCAGCCAGCGACTCGGATGGATGACGGTTGCAGCCTTCCCAGGGGAGGGGGGTGGGGTGGGTGTGTGTGTGAAAATCGCGCAACTCCCTTTTTTTACGAGCGTCTGACAAGGCCCCCAGGTCCATGGGGAAGCCCTGGTTCTCTTGTAAACGACCGACAAACTCTCACTGAACGACTTGCGGCAGATTGCTTAGCCATGGTAGATGAAAGACTGAGTCAAAACATCTACCTTGCTTAGCCACAATTGGGCTTGATGGCAGTCGTAAGTCGAGGACCACCCCATTGGAATTGTTACCTTTGAAATGATGTGTCCTTCCCCCCGGCCCCCCGAGTCACTTGATGAGATGGGGGGCCGTTCTCCTGAATTAAATTAAATTCACTTGCACCCGGTTATGGGTTCAAATTTCACTGACCCTTCCCCTCCTTCTCTCCCTGCCCCACAGCCTTCTTCAATCTGATTCCTGTGGGGCTCCGAGTAGTAGCCATACAGAGTACCACGTCCGGACAATATGTCGCCATGAACACCGAGGGCTACCTCTACAGCTCCGTGAGTACGCCGACCCCATGTGGTCACTTTTGGGGGATGTGCAACATGGGCTTCGTTATCCTCAACATAAGGCTGTGCCCACCTTCCTTCCTTCTCTCCCTCCTTCTCTCATCTTTCTATATGTATAAAAAGGGAAATACCACTCACGTGTCATCACAAAATCTCCAGAACTGTAAAGCTTACAAACTTGAAATTTGACACGTAGGTTCCTCTTGGCTTCTAGGGTCTCTCTCTCTCTCTCTCTCTCTCTCTCCCTCCCTCCCTCCCTCCCTATTTTAGATTAATTTATAGCATTCATTACCTCATCATAAATCCATCCAATAATAATACATCCTTATGTTATATTCTCTATAATTCTATTATCCTTATCTTGTACAATTCTGTAAAATATTTCATTTCCATATTTTTTTTATCTAACCATTGGTGAAATAAACCCCACATCTTGTAATATTGTTTGTCTTCTTGTTCTCTAATTTCAAATGTCCGTTTACTCCTTTCAGCACATTCCATTCTTTTCTTCATAACTTCTTCCTGCATTTGGTTATTTTCTCATTTTCCCAATTTTTCCCAGGTGCCGTTAATACGTTTTACAATCAAGTATTTCCATTCTCTACTGTATATTTCTGGTAAAATACCCAAACCAAACTTTTCCCAGCTTTGTGAACCCACGGCAGGGAGAGGGGCTCACCACTTCCACGGCCCAGTTCTGAACAGATCATGGTCCGGTCCAGGGCAGCGGTCTGGGTGGTGGTGGTTACGGACCCCTGACCCGTGGTGGTTTATTACCAGTTTGGACCGTTGTAAAAAAAAAAGAAAGAAAGCCTCCAATCAGCTGAGAGGATAAAAGACCTTCCTTTCTTCATCCTCTCAGCTGATCGGCTTGTTAAGGGTGTGTGGGCTAGGGCTGCGCTCACACTAAGGTAGGAACCCTCCACTGTCCCTGACCTAAGAGTTTTCAGCATTTGCAGCAGGGAAGCGAAGCAGATGGTGCACAAAATTCTGGTTTTTTCATTTTGAGGTGGGGTGTGTGTGTGTGATTAGCAACCCCCCCCTTTGTAAGGAAGCCCCCACCCTGGGGTGAGGGGTGGGTGGGAGATTCCTCTGTCCAGGGTGCCAAACCCACCCAGTTCTCTCATGTAAAAACGGTCATGAACAGGAACATGAACCCTAACCCTTTTGCTCCCACCTACCCTCAAACCTGTCCCTGCCACCCTCTCTCCCTCCCTTAGCCAAGTTTTTGGTGATATCTGGGTCCCCCCCC